ATATATATATATATATATATATATATATATATATATATATATATATATATATTATCAAGGTTATCTTCGTTTGTTCGATACGGATTGAATTGAATATCCAAAATTAGATCGGAAACGTTCTCAATGAATACATATCTCTACGATGCTTAAGTTAACATTATGACGATCATAATTAATTGATGTTGTAATGCGATACTATGCCAATTTTCATCCTAATTAATTTTGAAAAATTAATATAATTCAGTAAAATTAAGAAAAGTGGGTCATTTGGGAAAAGAATGAATGGATCATCCAAATTCTGATAAGCTCCCCAAAACCTGTAAAATCTCCTCTGATGTGTGAGATTAGAGAGGGTTTGAGGCAACCCTTTTCAGGCCCATGATCCATTTTTAGGTTCAAAACTACCATTTTGCCTTACAGATGTGTCATGTTGCCTGCTCCTTTTTCCTTCAAATATGATCGATAGAAAGTGATTCTAAAATCCATTGGCACAACTTTTCAGACCCTGTTGAGTCACAAGATTGCTTTTCATTACAGGACTGAACTAATACTGTGTGAGTGATGGTTGGCCTTTTAGCTGTGTGAGTGATGCACCACATAATACTGCTCCAATTTCATTTAATTCATTGACTTGTTCACTTGTGGATCTAAATTCCAGTGAGGCATGGATATATATAATTGAAGGGTTGAACAAGTCTTCTGTATCTGCATTACCTCTTGTTCTTTTGTTTACCATTCTCGATTTTTGTGAGTTTTCTTCGTGCAATATAGCAAGACCTGTACTGTATTCAGATGCATAATGGAGCTCGGTGTGAATTCTACACCATCCCATCACAGGTTTGATGGATAGATTTGACACAAGGCATCATAATTTGAAGGTGAGTAATGTTTAAACCAAGGTTTCATCTTTCCATTTTAGACCCATGTATATATAGGTCCTTAGGTGGTATGAGTTCTTTCTTATTCGAAAAGGTAAATATAATATCTTAAGGATCATTTACCCTTTATAAACAAAGAAAAAAATCTGTCGACAGCTTTCTTTGATGGATTATTTTTAATCTTTGTTGTGCATTGGTATTTCTAATAAAAATAGTCACTGATCGAATTTAGGATTTCCAAGTATCAGATTTAAGATGATTAGCAGCTGTTGAGTCTTCAGTAGGGGACAGTATTAATGACTATTCCACTGTTGGCTGCATACTACATGTACTAGTGATAAATAATATAATAATTCAATACGTACTTAACACAACGGTCTATTATTAGTTGGATGTTAAAATTCTATTGTTAATTTTTTTTAATTAATTTACCAAAAAGACCTATAGTAATAAACTTATATAAGATGACGTCTATATATTTGGTTTTTACTAGGATATATCTTTTTAAAAATCTTGATAATGTCCTTGAATTGGATTGTTGGAAGTTCAATTGATGCATGGGCCAGTTCGATCCAATTGAGGTATCTTAATTCGAGTCAAATCGAAGCTCTTCGGGTTAAGTTAGGTTGGATATACAATGTTCTAGTTATACTCAAGTGGCAATCGAGTTAGATTCATTCACAAAATATATTAAAAATATATTTAATTTTTATATAAATTTATCTAAAGTAAAAAAATAATATATTTTTTTGGAATCATATTTTTAAATAATTATTAATTTATAGATAATTAATTATCTTAAAGTATCTAAAAAAATAAAAAAATATTAATTTTAAAATAGGTTATGTAACACCCTTGATTAGTCGAAAGTGGATGGGATTAAGATTGATTTATAAGTGTTTGATGAGTGTGCTACTATCAATTTTAGCTTAAGCATTTTGGTCGGTTTAGACCAAACGAAGTTGATAGGCCAGTTAGCCCATCAGGCTCGGGTCATGACATATCGAGTTTAACTTATTTTAATTCGAGTGTGATTAAGTCAATATATGAAATATAGGATTTTGTGATTAACTTTATGATAAATTTAGGATAATTTCATATAAAAATATTATATTTTATAACATATTCTATGAATTAGTGTAACTCAAGTATAATAACTTTTTTTAGATAATTTAAGATAATTTTATACATAAATCAATATATTTTTAAGGATAACTCGAGTTTTTTAGTCTTATGATGGTTTTAAGATAATTTTATATAAAAACTAATATATATTTTTAATATATTATATGAATTAGTGTGACTCAAGTGTAACCCAAATGTAATTCAAGTATAACCCGATCGTAAGAATTTAAGATAATTTTATATAAAAATTGATATATTTAAAAAAATAACTTAAGTTTTTTAGTTTTATGATAAATTTAAGATAATTTTATATCAAAATAATATATATTTAATATGTTATGTGAATAAGTATAACGAATTTTCTAAGTAAATTATGATGAGGCGAAAGCAAAAAAAAAAAAAGGAGTGGAGGGAGAAAGAATAGAAGGATAAAGTGGAGGAGGAGGATGAGATGAGGGGGTTGAGGGAGATGGATGAAGGAGGAGGCGAAGATTGGTAGGAGTCGACAGTGGAAGTGGAGGAGGAGGTAGATTGGGAGTGAGGGTGAGGAGAGGAAGAAGGTGATGGAGTCGGTGGAGGAGATGGGACATAATTACAAATAATAAAGAGATTATTATTTGTAATTATTGATTTTGAAATGAAGGCCCTATGAATAGTGTCAGATGATTTAAAAATAATTTATAATTATTTTAAAATATTTAAAGCAAAATATGATGTAGATATTTTAAATAATAATTTAAAATATATAATTAAAAATTAAAAATAGATAATTTATATTATAATATATAATTTGTTTTTTACATAATATAGTGAAAAAAAGAAATGATCAAAGATTTACTGGTCATATTATATTAAAAAAAGATAATTGAACTTTTTTCATGTTCATATATGCACTAAAATATTGTATAAAGATTGTGAGAAAAACTTTATCATCACCTTTCTTTTTCTTTTCTTCTTCTTCTTCTTCTTAAATACTCTGTTATCAATTGACACCTTCATTAATAAGATATATCCAGCAAAGTTTTGAATCCTCAATCTTAACAAGTTGATGTGATAAAGAACAGGTTGGATGTACTAACACTATGTTGATGTTTTAATCCATGAGCTGTAATAAGTAGATCTGATATGTCATTATTAAATAAATATTTTGGTATAGAAAATAATCATAAAAGTAGATTCGTATGATGCTATGAATTACAGGATGTATCCTTGATTGCTATATTGTGTTGGAAGCAGAGAAAGGAGAGGTGGATTCCACAAGGGGGAGAGAAAGAGAGAGAGAGAGAGAGAGAGAGAGAGAGAGAGAGCATTTACTCAAGATTGTAATGAGTGGGCATTGTTGGTTGGATGTTGAGGTTCTCCGCAAGTAAACTCAACGCGCTTAAAGCGAAAGAACTCCATGTAGGAGGAGGTCCCCTCCACACCTCTCTCTCTCTCTCTCTCTCTCCCTCTTCCTTGTTAGGGTTTCCAGCATGACAATCTCGTAACACCAAGGGACATTTTCGGTGGGCGGTTCGGAGCGAAGAGAACGCATTAAAAGCGGCTCTCCTCAACCTATTTCACTGCATAAATTACTCTCTCACTATCCTTCCTTCCTTCCTGTTATGGACCCAAAGCAGTAGAGTAGGAAGTGAATGTGAGATAAGAAGTGGAAGAAGAAGAAGAAGAAGAAGAAGAAGAAGAAGAAGAAGACTGCATTCAGTCTCCTTGCATCAGAAAAGGGAAACGAAGAGGAGCAGAAGCACCATCCCATGGAGATCCTGCAACTGTTCTCCATGGTCCTCCTGCTCTGCTCTTTCTCGTCTCTTTTATGGGTCGTCTTCGGCCGGTGGAGATACCGCAACTGCTACCTCCTTGAATACGTGTGCTTCAAGGCGTCGGACGACCGCAAGATCTCGACCGAGCTCAGCGGCGACATTGTCGAGAGGAACAAGAGGCTGGGGTTCCCCGAGTACAAGTTCCTCCTCAAGGTCATCGTCAACTCCGGCATCGGCGAGGACACCTACGGCCCCAGGAACATCGTGGAAGGCCGCGAGGAGTGCCCGACCCACGACGACGGCTTGTCGGAGATGGACGACTTCATGAACACCACCCTCGACGAGCTCTTCCGCAAGACCGGCTTCTCCCCTGAGGACATCGACGTGCTGGTGGTCAACGTGTCCATGTTCTCCCCGGCGCCCTCCCTGGCGTCCAGGATCGTCCGCAGGTACAAGATGCGGGAGGACGTCAAGGTGTTC